AATTGACCAGAGAGAAAGATAAGGAAAGTGAGAAAGCAACCTGCCAGGTTCAGGACTCAAACCATGCTCAGCCATGTGGGAGTCCAGATGGCTTAACCATGTTGGCCATGTGGAAGTCAAGTACCTTTACCACTATGCCACCTGCCAGCCCCATTATTATTTTTTTATTTCATTAGAGAGAGAGAGAGAGGGGAAGTGAGAAAGCAAGCTGCTAGGTCTGGGACTCATACTTTAGTTGGCCATGTGGGAATCCTGTGCCTTAATCACGATAACACACCCGTTAGCCCTGCATTGGGGTGTTTCTTTGTTTGTTTTTCTTAAGAGAGATTTTTGTTACAGAGCATGTGCACTTGCTAGAAAGAGAGAAAGTGAGATATCACTACCCAGGGGGATGGCATTGCCACAGTCCCTTCTCCTCTTGGGATTTTGGGCATGCACGCACATGTGTCCGGTTTCAGTTTCAAGCTACCAGGTACGAGACTTGAACCGCAGTCGGCCATGTGGGAGTCCAGGGACATAACTATTACACCATTTGTTGGTCCCTCATTGGAGTTTTTTTAAAGTTCTTAAGGTGATTACAGTATGCAGCTCTTTGAGAATCATTGTGCTGAAAGATACAAAGTTGATTAGACATATAGAGTGGATTATTTAAGAAGGTTCCAATATCTACCATTAACAGACAACAAATAAAAGAGCAGCAGCTGGTTTGTTGGGAAAACATAGGGGTTGGTTTTAGCTCTTGAAATGTGTAATTTTTTTTCCTTTCTTGCAGTTGAAATGGATGCAATCAGAACTGAATGTTGAAGAAGTGGTAAATGACAGAAGCTGGAAGGTATGAAGTGATGTTGGTTTAGGAAAGTAGAGAGGAAACTGAGCTAGCAAAGGGAGAAACCAAGGGGTGGGGAGTAAAGACTTCCTTAAGGCTTAAAGGAGAGAAGTTACCGATTTACAATCATTGAGGGTGTGCCAGTCCTTCTTTTGCTAAAAACAGAAAATACTGAAAGTGAGTGACTTATAAAAGCAAGAGGTTGAGGGGCCGGCAGGTGGCATGATGATTAAAGATGCTGGATTCCCACATGGCCCAGCACGCTTTGAGTCCTGGACCTATCAGCTTGCTTTCTCACTTTCCCTTTCTCTCTCTCTGTCTGTCTGGCCAAATTAAAAAAATAATAATAACATAAAATAAATAAATTCTTTTAAGAAAAAATGATAAGAGGTTGATTCAGCTCGCAGTTTGGAGGTTCCAGGTCCAGCAGCCACATCTTGCAGAGGCCCAAGGCATCAAATCCTGAGGGTGAGAGCAGGGCAGATCTGTGTTGGTGAGCTTCTTTCTGTCGTATTCCCTCCTTATAAACCCACCAGGGGTCAGTCATGGGGACCTGTGCTAACGTGCTTAAACCTAGTCGCTACACAAAGGTCCCACCTTTCAGTATCATAGTCTGATTGTGTTTTTACCCTGTTAATCCTGTCACCCAGATCTTAACTCATTAGTTTTGTGAAGACATGCAGATAATAGCAGAGTCTTGACTTGTGTGTGTGTGTGTGTGTTGGGGGGGTGGGGTGGTGGTAATGGGGAAGGTGTGTGGTTCACATCCAAATAGAACCATTTTATAAAAATGCTTTACAGGCATACTGTATGGCCTGCCATTATAACAGAGGTGGAGTTAGCACACGTAGATCCTCACACTACAGGCATATTTGATATTTAGAATTATTACTGTAGTTTGGGACCAGCAGTTAGCGCAATGGCTATGTCGCTGGACTCCCACATAGTCGACCGTGGTTTGAGTCCCGGACCCAGTGGCTTAAACTCACACTGGGCGCGTGTGCGTGTGTGCCCAAGATCCCAAGAGAAGAATGGAGGAGAAGGGATTGCGGCATGGCCATCCCCCATGGGAGGTGATTTTTCGCTTTCTGTCTGTCTCTGTCTGGCGAGTGCACACACCCTATAGCAAAAACCTTTCCAAAAAAAAAAAAAAGAAAAAAATAGAATTATTACTGTAGTTTTAACTCACAACCTTCAGAGAGGTTATATGTTAAAATTAACCTTTTTAGGCTGAGTTATTTTGTATAAATTTTCATATCATTAGCTACCCTTTATAGTTTGTTTTCTCACATCTATCTAATCATGAAACTTTACTGTGGGTAGCTTCATTGGTATCTGATAGGGCTTTTACTGTTCATAGATTGATACAGTTCTGATTAGGAACTAGATTGGTGGACCAGATTCCAGGACTTTACATATAGTCAAAAATCACAACATTTTGGCTTTAGTTTTATGAAAAGATATATCCATTTACCCCTCTCTAAAATTCCTAAAAGAGTTCCGAAGGACAAAAATAAATCTGAAAGAATGAACTGAAAGTTCTTTCTTAACCTTTTTAATTGACTAATGGAATGTGTTAAACCGTATGCCTAGAGAAGTTAACTGAAACAAAAATGAGGATATGCCAGCTTGCCGAGCCATGAATAAATTGCAAAATACAAATTGACTTTCTTTGCTTTATCACATTTCTTTGTTTTTGTTTTTGTTTTGTTTTGGGAGGGGGGGGTTGAGAGGTTTTCGCAATAGGGCGCGTGCGCTCGCCAGACAGAGAGAGACAGGGAGACAGAAAGTGAGAAATCACCCCCCGGGGGGATGGTCACGCCACAGTCCCTTCTCCTCCATTCTCCTCTCGGGATCTTGGGCACGCACGCACATGCGCCCGGCGTGAGTTTTAAGCCACCAGGTCCGGGACGTGAACTGCGGTTGACTACATGGGAGTCCAGCGACATAGCCATTATGCTAACTGCTGGCCCCCTATCACATTTCTTTTTTTAAAAAAATTGTTTTTATCACATTTCTTTATTTTACCTTTTCTGCCAAAATTCTTTATTATTTTTTTAAGAGAGATTTTTGCTGTAGGGTATAAGCTCTCCTTAGAAAGACATACAAAAGAAATATCACCCCCAGGGAGGATGGCCACTCTGTAATCCCTTCTCCATTCTCTTGCAATTTTTGTATGCTTTGTATGTTTGAAGCATGTGTTGAGGGAGAAATATAGTGAGATCTAGCTTGAAAAACCCAGTGCAGAGCTTTATGACATATGTAAAATGTATTCTAGTGGAGAGTGAAGCATTTTGGGTTTGAAATTAGTTTTAAGGAACATATGCTCTATGCACTCTAAAAACGAGGACTCTACTTGTTATAAAAGGAAGACAATGTAGCTCTGGTATTAATAAGTCAGCAAAAGTCAGTAGGAACCACTTAGGAAAAGGATTTGGAAAGGCTCAGCCAAGTTGTTTATATCATCCTTACCCGTGTGTCAGGGTGCTGACCTGAAGCCTTCTTAGGTCTGAACATGGAATTTCAGAGGATGTCAGGGCTGGGTTCTGGAGTGAGTTCAGTTATAAGACACAAGGGCTAGAAGAGTCTACGTGATTTCTTCATGTTTTCTTTTAATGGTAAGACACTTCGACCAAAGAGTGTAACATGCAGAATCTAAAGAATATTAATAGAATGAGCACTCATGTACCTGTCATCTAGTTTAAGAAATTAGATAAGATTAGCACTCCCTATGGGGCCAGCCATTGTCATGGTGATTATGGCAGGGGGGGGCCTTATGGCAGCCGGATCCCATGTGGCTGACTTCCTAGTTCAAGTCCCAGTCCTGGTGGATTGAAAAAACATGCCTGGTGTGTGTGCATATATGCCCAAAATCCCAAGAGCAGAAAGGAGGAGAAGGAATTATGGTATGACTTTCTCCTCCTTGGGGGGTGTATTTCCTACTTTCTCTCTCTGTCTTTCTCCAGTAAGAACATGTGCCCTAGAGCAAAAACTTAAAAAACAAAAACAAACTATATGTACATTTTTGTTCTTGTTTTTTTGTTTGTTTGTTTGTTTTAATTTTTTTTTGTTATAGGGCACATATACTCGCCAGAAAGAGAGAGAGAGAGACAGAAAGTGAGAAATTATGCCTCAGTGGGAAACACCCACACCGCAATCCCTTCTCCTCTGTTCTCCTCTCAGGATCTTGGGCACGCACATACACATGCCCGGCATGAGTTTAAGCCACCGGGTCCGGGACTCAAATCGCTGTCAGCTACATGGGAGTCCAGCGACATATCCATTACGCCAACTGCTGGTCCCTTGTTTTTGTGATAGCAGCAACAAACCAACATGAGTAATTTCTCTTTTTCTTTTTCTTTTTTTTCTAGTTTGCTCTAGGTCCGTGCACTTGCCAGGGAGAGCGTGTACTTTCCCTAGCAGGGGAATGACCACACTGCAGTCCCTTCGCCTTCATTCTCCTCTCAGGTTTTTGGGGATGCATGCACATGCACTCAGCATGTTTTTCAAGTTGCCAGGTCCAGGACTAAACTGTGCAGTGGGTCACATGGACTCCAGCTGCTTTAACCACCAAGTTTCTGGCTGGCCCAGTAATTTCTTTTTTTAACTTTAAAAATGACTCGTTCCTTACTTCAGTGAAATATAGGTATAAATTCTGAGAAATCTTTAAGACCTTAAGGGGTTTTTTATTTAATTTTTTTGTTTTGTTTTGTTTTTAAGAACGTTATTTGCCATAAGGCATGTGTACTTGCCTGAGAGAAAAAGAGAGAGAGACAGAGACAGAGAGAGGAAAAGTGAGAAATCACCCTCCAAGAGGGCATGGCAATGCCACAATTCCTTCTCCTCCACTGTCCTCTCAGGATGTGGGGCATGCCTGCACATGCCCCTGGTGTGATTTTCAAGCTGCTGGGCCCAGGACTTGAACTGTGGTTGTGAGAATCCAGTGCTTTAACCAACATGCCACCTGCTGACCCCCAATTTTTATTGTTTATTTTTAATTTATTTTTTTAAGAGGTTTTTGCTATAGGGCACATGCGCTCGCTAGACAGATAGAAACAGAGATACAGAAAGCGAGAAATCACCCCCCAGAGGGGATGGGATGGCCACGCCGCAGTCCCTTCTCCTCCATTCCCTTCTCGGAATCTTGGGCACACACACACACGCGTCCGGCGTGAGTTTTAAGCCACCAGGTCTGGGACACGAACCGCAGTCGACTATGTGGGAGTCCAGCGACATAACCATTACGCTAATTGCTGATCCCTTTATTGTTTATTTTTAAGGCTTTTGCCATAGGGCATGTGCACTCCCCAGAAAGAGAGAGAGGGGAAAGTGAGAAATCAACCCTCCTCCCTGCCAGGGTGCTATAATCCATTCTCTTCTTGGGATTTTGGGCATGCATGCACACATGTCCAGCAAGATTTTCAAGCCTCCAGGTCTGGGACTGAATTGTTACTGACCATGTGTGAGTCTAGTACCTTAAACACCATTCTACCTGCTGACCTGACTAGGTTTATTTTTAATTGGACACTTAAAAGTTTTAGACACATGATTTAAATTTTTTTAAAATGTTAAAGGATATATATTAGAAATTCTTACCCTCCCTCCCCTCTTGCCTTCAGCTACCTCCTTTCCCTTTCTTCTGATGGGATGGTATATTCTTTCAGATATTTGTACTTTTTCTACTTTTGTGTTTATTTTCCTCCTTTGTTATACAAACAAAACACTTCACTTTCTCCCCTTGATATATCTTGAATATTTTCTCAAATCAGCATAAAAAGCTTCTCATTCTTTTTTAAGCTTCAGTTGTATTCCATTGAGTAGTGGTACAAGAATTTCTATTTCATACAGTCCCATTTTGACAAATATTTAGTCAAAGAGCATCTTTTGAACATTTATGTCACAGGTTGATTATCCCTTATCCAGAATTTTCTGAACCAGAAATGTTTCAGAGTTCATATTTTTTCTGACTTCAGCATATTTGTATGTATATATAGCAAGATAATTTGGGAAATGAGACCTAAATCTAACATTAAATTTTGTTATGCTTCATGTATATCTTATATACATAGCCTAAAGATAATTTTATACAATATTTTTGTATAAGAGCATTTTGTCTATGACCTATCACATCAAGTCCGGTGTAAAATTTTCTACTTACAGCATCAGGTCATAACTCAAAAGTTTTGGATTTTGTAGCATTTCAGATTCTCAGATTAGGGATTCTCAACCTGTACTTGTTTAGAGTTTTAAGAAGCAAGGTGAATTGATAAAAAATACATTATTTTATAAAGCGTAGCAAAAACTGGTTTACCTAACAAGCTTACCTACTTGTGAGAAGGACCTGGCACACGTTCAGAAAAGTGCAGCCGCCATCTGAATAAGAACCTTTACGGGTCCATCCCTGTAGGTGGATTCCATGTTGCCAATTGTGGTGTGAATACTGGCTCCTGCAGCTTGAAAAACAGAACTGGGCACATGTGCATGTGTGCCTAAAATCCTCACAGGCTGAAGGAATGGAAAAGGAATGGTGGTGTTCCATTATTCCTTTTCCCTGATCAGTAGAATTTTAAAAAATGGGCAATTTAAAAAAAGAGAGAGAGGGAAATGCTTTATCTTGAACTTATTTTAGATATTTTTGTCTTAATTGTCAAAATATGTCCTGAATATGGAACTGAAATGTTGGCTAATTTCTTTTTTCTTTATTTAACTTTATTTGGCCATTTATTTATTTTAATTTGACCAGAGAGAGATAGAGTGAGTAAGAGAGAGAGAAAGTGAGAAAGCAAGCCACCAGGTCCAGGACTTGAACTGCATTTGGATGTATGCGAGTCCAGCACCCCTAACCACATCATGTCACCTGCCAGCCCCCAATGTTGGCTAATTTCTAAATTAACTGGCTTTTATATTTTGGTGAGAGATTTTTGTTATTGGGCGTGTGTGTTCCCTGGAGACACAGAGACAGGAAGTGAGAAATCATCCCCTGGGGGATGAGCATGCTGCAGTCCCTTCTCCTCCATTGTCCTCTCAGGATTTCGGGCACCCACGCACACATACCTGGCATGAGTTTCAAGCCACTGGGTCTGGGACTTGAACCACGGTCAGCCATGTTGGAGTCTAGTCCCTTAACCACCATGCTACCTCTGATCCCCTGTAAATTAACTGGCTCTTAATAATTTTTCTTTGAGTAATTTAAATTTTATTAAAACATCAATAAATGATTATTAGTAAATGAATGTCAAGGCCTTTCGTAAGGCAATTCTTTTTTTTTTTTTTTGGAGAGGTTTTTGCTATAGGGCATTTGTGATTGCCAGAAAAGACAGTGAGAGAGAGAGAGACAGAAAGCGAGAAATCACCCCCTAGGGGGGATGGCCACACCACAATCCCTTCTCTTCCATTCTCCTCTCGGGATCTTGGGCAAACACACACACGCACCCGGCGTGAGTTTTAAGCCACCAGGTCCAGGACTTGAACCGTGGTCAACTACATGGGAGTCCACCGACATAGCCATTATGCCAACTGCTGGTCCCATCAATTCTAACTGAAGAGAAAACTCTGTTTTCTAAATTTGTTAACCTAGAACAAAAATTATATCCTCCTGAAGTATACCAAAATGATCTTAGTTCCAGATCTTACTTGTATAGGGTAACTCAGTGACTTTTGTTTCTGTTTAAATATTTTAGGTGTTTAATGAACGCTGCCGAATTCACTTTAAGCCTCCAAAGAATGAATAAAGAAAGAAAGATACTTTTCTTTTTTTAAAGGACCCAGTCATCTCCTAAGAGCTAAGCATGACAGACATCAACAAGGCGGGCTTCCTAGGATTACTGAGCCAACAGTCCAAGACCTTTTGTTGATTTCAGCCCCACTTAGCCAAGACCTCAAATATAAATAATTCTGATAATTATGGAGAAATCAATTACTATTTTATACTGATTCTGTAAAGAAAAAGTTTTGTAACTATTAAAATAATTTTCTGACTCATTGTTCATATTTATTTGACTGTCTTCCAAATAGAGACTGAATTCTCATAAGAGAATTAGTACACAATTTCAATACCCGATTTTATTTATATATCATTTTGATTTTTACTAATTATTGGAATGGATATAGAGTTTTTGGTTACTGATGAGTTTATCCTTTTATTTACTTTTGTGGGCTTATTGTAAAAGGGAAGTATTATAAGCAGGACACTGTCCAAAGAAGCTTTCTTTTAGTCCTTTACCTTGTTTTTAGATAAAAACTGGCTTTGGGTAGAATTCTTAACTGGATGATGCTTCCATGGACATTGAAAAGGAAATGAGTAAAATATTCAGAGAAAAGAAAGGCAGGGTAGGGTTTGCATGACAGTAGATGAGTTTGTAAACTCATTACAGATGAGCTAGTTTTTAAAATCTCTAATTGTAGGAATTGATCATTGCCAAAAAGTATTTTCTAATATGGGATATTAAAATTTGTCTTGTTATTGCTTAACAAATGCCACAAACCATGTGGCTTAATACCATACCTGTTTATCATCACACAGTTCTGGAATCAGAAATCTGGGCAGGCTTGACAGTAACAGTTTTTGTGCTTATGGGTTTTTTGTTTTTGTTTTTTAAGAGGTTTTTGCTATAGGGTGCATGTGCTCACCAGAAAGACAGAGAGAGACAGAAAGCGAGAAATCACCCCCCAGGGGAGAACGGCCACGCCGCAATCCCTTTTCCTCCTTTCTTCTCTCGGGATCTTGGGCACGCACACGCACCCGGGGTGAGTTTAAGCCACTGGGTCCAGGACTCAAACCGCAGTCGACTACATGGGAATTCAGCGACATAGCCATTGCACTAACTGCTGGTCCCTGCTTATGTTTTTACAAAGCTGAGCTCCAGCTGAGAAACAGGCTAGGCTCTTATCTGGAGTCAGGTAAGAATCTGTTTCCACTCTGATTGGGTATTGGCAGAATTCAGATCCTTGGATTGTGGGATTAATGTTACCATTTTTCTTACTGACTGTAAGATACCACCCACATTTCTTTTTCTTTTTCTTTTTTAAATTATTTTTATTTTATTTATCTTTATCCATTTATTTATTTTTATTTGACCATAGAGAGAGTGAGAGAGAAAGTGAGAAGGCAAGCTGCCAGGTCTGGGACTCGAACCTTGGTCAACCATGTGGGAGTCCAGCACCTTTAACCACCACACCACCTGCCAGCCCCCAGTGCCACCCACATTTCTTGACACATGATTCTCTCCATCTTTAGGCTGGTGAAAGTGAATTTAATCCTTCTCATGCTTGGAATTGTTAACTTTTTCTGCAGTGACCCAGATTGGCTGCTTTTAAAAGGTTTATGTGATTAGATTAGGCCTACCCCAATAATCTTCTTGATTAATTAAAAATGAAATGATTCTGATCTTAATTACATCTGCAAATCTCTTTTGCCATGTAATATAATCACGCAATCCCTTTTCCTCCTTTCTTCTCTCGGGATCTTGGGCACGCACACGCACCCGGGGTGAGTTTAAGCCACTGGGTCCAGGACTCAAACCGCAGTCGACTACATGGGAATTCAGCGACATAGCCATTGCACTAACTGCTGGTCCCTGCTTATGTTTTTACAAAGCTGAGCTCCAGCTGAGAAACAGGCTAGGCTCTTATCTGGAGTCAGGTAAGAATCTGTTTCCACTCTGATTGGGTATTGGCAGAATTCAGATCCTTGGATTGTGGGATTAATGTTACCATTTTTCTTACTGACTGTAAGATACCACCCACATTTCTTTTTCTTTTTCTTTTTTAAATTATTTTTATTTTATTTATCTTTATCCATTTATTTATTTTTATTTGACCATAGAGCGAGAGAGAGAGAAAGTGAGAAGGCAAGCTGCCAGGTCTGGGACTCGAACCTTGGTCAACCATGTGGGAGTCCAGCACCTTTAACCACCACACCACCTGCCAGCCCCCAGTGCCACCCACATTTCTTGACACATGATTCTCTCCATCTTTAGGCTGGTGAAAGTGAATTTAATCCTTCTCATGCTTGGAATTGTTAACTTTTTCTGCAGTGACCCAGATTGGCTGCTTTTAAAAGGTTTATGTGATTAGATTAGGCCTACCCCAATAATCTTCTTGATTAATTAAAAATGAAATGATTCTGATCTTAATTACATCTGCAAATCTCTTTTGCCATGTAATATAATCACAGATGTATCTGGTCACTTTCTGAAGGAGTAAGGTAGGACATCTTGGGGCTGGAGGAAGATTGGCAATTAGAATTTTGCCTACCAGAATGTCTAAACACGAGCCACTGGGCTCTGACTCTGAATGACCAAATAGGCCTCTGACAGGCCTTTAGAACATGGACGTTTATCAGATTACGTACTTGGTAGTAGCTAATAAAGGTATGAAGTGCTCACTGTTCAGCAAAAAATTTTTTGAGCACTTACTGTGGGTCAAACAAATTGGAGGGCTATTGAGAAGCAAAACTACTGTGGATATTACGATCTGGTCTTTTCAACAAAAATTTTTCTAAGGGTCAGCAGTGTAAAAGGTTTTTTCTTTGCTTGTTGAATCCATATCCATCTTTGGATGGATGAGTGAATTGAAAGAATGTCTAAAAGAATGAAAAGACAAAGATCTTTCTGATGCTACTGCTCTGGGGAGAATTTGGATCCTTGGAAAGGATTCCAAACAGCCTTTCTAGAACTTCAGGTCTGAGAAGATACCAACTAGCTAATCCAGTTATGTCAGTGGGATAGCAATCACTAGCAGGTTATGAGAAATGTGTAATTAAGAGAGTGTAAGGTTAAGTGTCAATGACTATACTGCAAATATTGGCCCAGCAGGTAGTGCAGCGGTTAAGGCAGCTGGATCCCACTTGGCCAACCCGAGGTTTGAGTCCCAGATCCAACAGCTTGAAAAATACCAGGTACATTTGCCCAGAATATTGACAAATAGGGGAGAAAGGATTGTGGTGTGGTCATCCCCCCTTGAGGGTAAGGGTGAGTTGCTTTCTTTTTCCCTCTGTCTCTGTCTCCAGTGAGTGTATGTGCCATATACTCCACCCCCCCCCCAAAAAAAAAACCCACCCAAAATATAAATAAAAAAATATGTGCATTGCTCTTGAGTAACTTGTATGCTGAATCAAAGTGTCTTGTGGGTAGTTGCTACTTTACAACAATTTATTAAATTGGTTTTGTCACTTGTAACTTAGACACAGAAAAGAGAAAAATGGGCAGAAGTTTGGAGATGAGTGTGGCCCTTCCTCTGTAGCACTGAAGACAGCCATGGGAAGGAACACCTATGGTAATACATTTGCAAATTCTTTTAGCACATGTTTGAATTCTTTACCTATTCTAGACACTATTGACTACTGTATGTCACTGAAAACAAAATACCTGTTCTCAAAGACCTTGCACTTGGTGAGGGGAAACACAATAGAAAAGAAACAAATTATAGAATATGCTGAAATATGGTAAAGTTCTCCACAAAATAATAGTAATGAGGAAATTAGAATGGGGTGGAGAGTTGTAAATGACTTTAGCTGATTGGAGAACTCTGTAATGCCCTTTTAACTAGAGACTGAAATGTACCAAGTAAGTGCAAAAATAAAAAAAAAGAGAAAATTCTCTAATCCTCTTTTCTAAGTTGCGCTCAAAGATACCGGTTAGGGAAAAAAAAAAAAACCCAGTACTATAGTGTTAGGCTCTGCTAATGGACCAGGTGTCCAGGAATAATCTAAACTGGGAAGTTAGTCAAACATGTAAAGAAAAGTGAGTATTCTAGGGGACCAGCAGGTGGCATAGTGGTTAAGGCGCTGGACACTCCCATATGGACAGCCACAGTTTGAGTCCCGAACCTGGTGGCTTGCTTTCTCACTTTTTCTCTTGTCTCTGGTCAAATTAAAATAAATTAATGAATAAATTATATATATTAAAAAAATGAGCATTCTCCCTAATGTCAGATGTTCTAATCAAACATGTTCGAGCATACTTAGGTTGCTCACAATTTGTGTGCACTGGCCTTATAGAATACCCTTGATTAAATTGCTTGACTCTTAAATCCTGGCTCAGTTGCAATGGTGGGCAGGCTGTAGGGAAGATCACCTTCCCAGTGGATCTGGCTGCCAGCCTGTACAAGGACCCTGATCCTGCTCAGAAGGCTAGGCAGAGGATCCTGTAAATAAAAATTCTTATTGTTGAGCATAAACATTGAAAAACAAAATATTAGAAAGGGATCACATCCACCATTTTTAAAACAAGCCATCATCTCCCAGAAATGCATGGGGAAGAAATCCAGATCATTAATAAAAGTTTCAAGTAGAGCTCCCAGCTTCTGGATGCAGTGGCCAGCTGAGGGCACCCCTGTACAAGAGCAGAGGACTTGGCCTAGGTGAACCTGTGGGTCTACTGGGGCATTAAGAAGGGGTAGCTGGGTGCCGCTGAGGAGGCAGCGCCTGAAGGGCAGCACCCAAGCAGGTGTGGAAGGGCGGTGGCTGGGAGAAAGGGACCAGAGAGAAAAAAGGGAGGGGAGAAGGACAGGCGAGTGGGGCAGGTGATGCACTGGAGGCAGCCAAGGCAAAGCTATTCTACTTGTGGAGTGATGAAATGTCAAGAGAAACTCACCAAGACAGAGCAAGGCACCTTCAGGTAGGTGTTTAAGGCCAAGCCCCACAGGACGGCAGGAAAGGGGCTCTGAAGAACCGTGGCCCAGCAGTGAAACTAGATGCTCTTCCAGGCTGACCTACATGGAAGCTTCGGTGTTTGCTCAGAGAGTGCATGCCCAAGACCCAGGACTGGGTCCTTTCTTAGCTCCCATAGAGTAAATAAAAAACAGTGGCTCTGAAGAAGGCACTCTTGAGGATGAGGGGTTCTCCATTACAGCCTTGTCTGAGATCAAGATCCCCCAGCTTCTAAAACTGGAAGATGGGGTAGTTTGATTGGGATTCATAGAACCAGAACTCGCAGATCACCTCCAAGGGCAGTAGACGCCTGGTGTTTGACTGGCATGAGCA